CCCCCCCCCCTTCTTGCGCAGGACGTGCGGGCACCGGAGTCTTCCTCGGAGGCTCAACGTGGATCCCCGGCACCCCCACTCGCGACGCACACCCACCGGCTACCTGCACGCACAGGCGGGCTCCCCGCCGAGCCCTCCATGTTGTGCTGTGCGGGTGGGAGAAGTAAATTCAGATAAGAAAGTGCTCTCAGCCGTAAATCCCCCGCATTCCCATCGCCCTCGGCCAGACGGGTCGGGTTTTCCTTCCCGAGGAGAAATATTTCTGACAAAGCTTAATCTCATTGGGACACGTTTAATCATTAGAGAGACGGGAACGAATACGGCCGGGGGGCTCGCTGGGGGGGGGGCGTGAAACGTTTGCCCGGCAAATAAACCAGTTTATAATAGAGTGGAAGGGGAAGGGAGGCCCCGGGCTGGGCTTAGAGCTTTCGCCGGGGCGGGGGAATTAAATAAGACAAACAAATATCTGGGCCGGGCGGCTGCGGGATGCGGGGGGCTGCGGGCTCCCGGCTTTGTGCTCGCACGCATGGCCTTCACGAACTGCCTCCGCCACTATTGGCAATATTTTCAAAGATCTCATTAAAGTGCATTTATCAAAGCCCTAACATGTGCCCTCCGGCTCTGACATAACCCCGTTAGCCCCCAGGGAGGAGGGGGAAAAATCCCAATTTCTATTACAATTCACCGCCTCGGGAGGTTGGTTGGGGGGCAGGCTAGATCTAGATCTACAAATTTATAAGTAATATCGGGGAATTGGAAGGATTTCTCCGTCTTTGAAGCTTCGGGGGGAAGGAGATAGAGTAATCGTGAGAATAGGAAAGCTCATTTAGATTCCTACGTCCTGGAGAAGATTTAATTGTCTGCGGGAGAAAGGCAGGCCGGCGCCGGGATTTTGGGGAGGTGGCAGGGGCTTTCTCTTGAGCCTCGATAGGGAAGGCCGGTGCCGGCTCCCTTTCTGTGTGCGGGGCAATCTTTCCCCTTCCCCCTCCCTTTTTTTTTTTCTTTTTTCTTTTCCCCCAAAACGTCCTTAACGCCTGTGTTAATGCCGGTTTTCCAGCCGTGAAAAGCGACGGGAATTTCACCCCGCAGAAACTCCGACCCCCGCACGTTACAATTAAGTTCTTGAAAGCGACGGCGGATTCGGAGGGCTCTGGTTTCCCCTGATGTCAGGAAATACGATTTTTTTACGCTCCCTCCGTCCCCCGGCCAGGGTGCCGGTGCTCAAGGCAATCCGGTGGCGTGGGTTCCCCGTCCCCGCTCCCTTTCCCACGGCCTGGCGTGGCGCGTCCCCTCCGAGCCGGCAGCATCTCCGCGGAGCTGCCGCTTCGCCGCTGGAAAATGCCATTTCAAACCCTCTGCGCGGGGCTCTCGGAGGGTGTATTTAGCAGCGATAGTTTTATTTTTAATTGGGGGGGGTGGTTTGGGGTTTTTTTTACCGCCGACAAAAGATGTCGTCTTTAATGACGCGGCTCTCCTTTCCCCCGCCACACTTTAAAACAAAGAGGGTGTTGCTTACAGGGGATGCTCCTGAGGTGAAGCTCCTAATAACAATTATCAGGAGCGACACGGGCTGCGCTTCCCTCTCCCTATTTATTTCAAGTGTAGCTCATTCTAAGAGATAAAATAAACCTGTCCCCCCTAACAAAGGCTTTGTGTGGGCTTCGCTAATCCGTACCGAGAGGCAAGGTGCAGTCCTTTTTGTTTGTTTATTTGTGGTCTGGAGTGAAGGAAAACAATAGCTCGCACCTTCGGTCTAATCAAACAATAAACTAATCCACTTGACGGCTGTTATCGGAGATGCGATGCGGGGACGGGTTAGAGGTCGGTGCGAGCGAACCGCACGGGAGGGGAGGAATAGCGGCAGACTGCTGCCAACCCCCCTTTCAGTCATTTTTATATATATCTATATAACATTATTATATAGCGTGTACGTATGTGATGTCGCTCGGCAGAGAAGGGAACGAAGTCAGGGGCGTCGGTGGCTTAAAACAGCGGGAGAGAGCCGGCGCTTCGCGGGGAGCGGGAGCCCTCGGGCCGCCGGCGGGAGGAGAGACCCGCTGCAGCAAGGGAAGGCGCCTCGCCGCTTCGGAACACGACCCACGCGCCGCCCGTGGCGTGGCGTGGCGAGACCCCGCTCCGCCGGCCCGCGGGGCGGGGAGCTGCCCTCCGCTGCCCGGGCGGCCTGCTGGCTTTGCGGGTCCAGGGCGGCGGGGTCGGGGCCGGGCCGCCCCCCTCCCCCCCGCCTCCCACGCGTGACCGCCCCGCACACACCGCTGCCGCCGAGAACCGCTCAGAAGGGCTCTTTCCCTCCCTTATCCCCTACCCGGTGCCTCTTCCCCTGTCTTAAAAAAAAAATAATCAACAACCAAAAACCAGCTTCAATGCCGCTAAAACCGCCGCCCGTGGGGTGGGAGGGCCGCTCCCCACGCAGCTCGGGGCGGGGGGACAAAGAGCGGAGAGGGAGGGGAGGCGAATGGCGGGTGTTTGAGCTACCTGTGAAAGTAAACAGGTAAACACTCCCCCACTTGTCCTGAAGTGCAGCCACTCAGCCTGTGTACACGCACCGCGCCGCCGGCCTCCGCCGGGCTTCTGCAAACAGCCCTCCCCGGGGCGACCCCCCCAGGGGAGCGGGGTGGGAGGGCAGCCCCCCCGGCCCCGGTGGGCTCTGCGGGCTCCCCCCCCGCCTTGCCGCCCCCTCGCCCTAAGGCTGGAGCATCCCCCCTCCCCACCCGGCTGCTCCCGCCCGCGGGGTGCTGGGAGGGGGACACAGCGGGGAGAAGGGCATGAAGGGCGGCGGGGGAGCCTCTCTCCCCCCCCGGCTCTGTCGCGATAGCAGCCGGGCTGCCGTCGGGTTCCGCCCCCCCCCCCCCAGCGCACCCGGGCCCCGGGCACGGGGGCTGCGTCCCGGCCCCGCGACCCCTCCTGACGTCAAAGGGCCCGAGCGGCTCTCACGTCACCCCCCGCCGGTGACGTCACGGCGTCCCGGGCCGCTCGTTCGGTGCGGAGGGAGAGCGGCCTCGGCCCGCAGCGTTGCCCGCTCGTGGGAGCCCCCCCGACCCCCCACCCCCGCTGCCGGGCCACGAAGGACCATTGTTCCCCGCGGGTGGACGGGCCGCCGGCGCCGGCCCTCCCTTTACCTCTCGGGCGGTGTCGGGGCCCGGCCGAACACCCCCCCCTTCGGGGGGCTGCATGGGGGGCCGGGCCGGGCCGGACCAGCCCGCAGCGAGCCCCGGGGCCGTGTCCGCCCTCCCGCGGCGGAAGGGCCCGCTCTCCTCCCGTGGGCATCCCCCGCTCCCGCCGCCGTCGGGCCCCACGTCGCGGGGGCTTTGCGGGATGCTCTGCCCGTGTCGTGGCATTTGCGCGTCTGTTTGGGGGTTGGGGGGTATTATTATTCTTAATTATTATAAATGATTATTTAAAGCCCCCCCCGAGGAGCGGAGCTGCCCAAGGACCGGGCCGCCCGCCCCGCCGCCGCGGGCGGACACGGCCCCGGCGATGCTCTGCCCGTCCCTCCCCGGGCCCGCCGGCTTGGCTTCTGCCGGGCTGCTTCAATTCGGGACGCTGTATCGCGGTCCCGCCGCTGTCGCGATTGTCACTGTTGTTCCGGCTTTTTTTATTATTATTACTATTTATTCCCCCCCCAACTTTGCCGCGGCGGGAAGTAATTGAAACCCCCTCCTGCCCCATCCGACCCAAACGCCGCCGCCTCCCCCGCGCCGGGCAGGTCGAGCCGGGGGCGGGGTGGGGGTGGGGGGGGATAAAGCAATCGATAAGGCCGAGATTTGCTGGAAATTAAAGCGCTCTGCCTGGTGCGTGTCCCAAGCCCCTCCCCCCGGGGAAAGGGAAGCGGAGCGGGGGAGCGCCCGCCCGAAGGGGTTCCCTCGATATCGAGGAAGGACTCCGAAATGGATGAAGAGATAGCCATTGAGCGCGGTTGAATACCATGACAACTAGGAACAACCTCAGATTTATTCCCAACAGTTAGGACACATTGAAAGAGGGCGTCAATCACGTATTATTTCGCCACTGAAATAAATGCAAAAACTGCGCCGAGACAAAGGGTTCCAACAGAAGCCGGACATTTGTCTACATTGCGGACATTGTTTCCAGCTTAGCCATAGGGTTGTATTTGTGTTTGCGCGGGTCCGACCACCCAGGATGTGCTCAGGGGCTCGCTTAAAAAAAAAAAGGGGGGGAAGAAAAAATCCCTGGGCATTGTCAGCCACATCACATACTTTATGGGAGGCAGGCTGGGGGCTGGGGGAGGAAAGATGGGGGGAGCGGGGAGGGAGAGGAGGGGAAGGTGCGAATACATTGATCGGCAAATAGGAGGATGTCTGAGGGATCGTCGTCTTCCTCTTCCCACCACCGGCAGCCCCATTCCCGCTCCCTCCTGCGGGAAGAGAAACTCGGTCAACTTTTCTTTCCCAGAAATAAAGGTGGTGGTGAGAAGCCCCTTCCCACATTCTAGCCCCCACGCCGCACACCACCATCCTCCCCGCGCACAAACCCGTCCCGGGCAGGGATCCGGCTGCGGGGCGCTTCGGGGAGGGGAAAAGGGAAAAGGGAAGGGAAAGGGGAAGGGAAAGGTCCGGGCCGTGCCCGGCGAGGGTGCGCACGGCCAAGGGTCCTCGGCGGGTGCAGGAAAGGAGAGGAAGAAGGAAAATGAAAATAAAAGTTGGTGGCAGACAGATAGAGAGGGGAGAAGTTGGCGAGGGGGGCGGTCTGCAGCCCCGCGCCGGGCAGGGGGAGCTTCCGCGGCCGCGCAGCGCTGCTCGGCTCCGCGCCGCTCCGCAGGGACCCGCGCCCGGGGATGC